CCTGCATCATCCGCATCCATGGCGGGCACTGATGCAGATGATGCCGGTGATGCGGGGGATGTTGTCCCCTAGGTTGGGCCAATCTTGCCGAAAACGTGAAAAACACAGTGTTTTTCGAGGTTTTTGGCGGGTGCGAACGTGGAACATATCGAAACCTGCTTGGCAGGCAGGCCTCGACGATCCCGGCCGAGCTCGATTTTGGGCAGGAATTTCGGTGAGCAATAAAAAAACACTGTGTTTTGTCAACATGCAGCGAATCAGCCAGCACCTTAATCCTTTTACATGTTGTGGCTCATGCTGCTGCGCACGACCTTTTTCACTCGCGAAGGTCATCGTGTAGCGGTCAAGATTGGCTGTGCCAGGCTTTGGCTGTGGCAGGCTGGCAACAGCAAGCATTGCCTGCATTTACTTGAAATTACTCTTTCCTCGTGGCGGTCAAGATTGGCACTGCTGGCCCTCTAGCGGAGCCACGTTCCTGCATCCCAGCGCTGGCCGGCTGAGCGACGCTCTGCCTGAACGCCAGCGGCAGGCTGGCAATAGCAACACTTGCCTGCATTTTCACTCTTTCATCGCGGTGGTCAAGATTCGCACTGCACTGCTGGCCCTCTGGCGGAGCCACGTTCGTGCAGCGCCGGCCGGCTGAGCGACGCTCGGCTCGGTGCGTCACGCAGTATGAGCTTGCTCCTGCGAGCCGCCGCGCTTGCAGCGCTTGCGCTCCCGTGTCTCCCCTTGCTTCTTTGCGCATCTTTGGCAGGCTTTGTCTGCGGGCGGGGCTGTCCACACCCGCCCTGGCATGGCGGGAAGGCACAGCTGCTGCACCAAGTGTCAACGTTAGCCTTCTTGGGCAGGTCTTGCCCACACTTGGCACACTGGTTCGAGGCACACGCATTGCAAGTCCAGCTGGGGCAGCTTTTGGCATGGAGCTCGCTCTTTTGTGGTCGAGCTTTTCCACACCCTCCCTGGCACGGCGGGAAGGCACAACTGCTGCACCAAGTGTCAACGTTAGCCTTCTCGGGCAGGTCTTGGCCACACTTGACACACTTGTTCGCGGCACACGCGTTGCACGTCCAGTTGGGGCAGCTTCTGGCGTGGAGCTCGCTCTTTCGTGGGCGGGCTTGTCCACATCCGCCCTGGCACGGCGGGAAGGCGCAGCTGTCGCACCAAGTGTCACGCTTGGCACGTGCGGGCAGGTCGTCTCCACATGCGCTGCACTTTCCGGCGCACTTACTGCACACCCAGCTGGGTCGGTTCTTAGCATGGTATGAACTTTTGCGAGGCCGTGTATTGCCGCACCCGGCTTGGCACGGGGGGAAAGCGCAGCTGTCACACCAGGAGCCAGGCGTGGCCAACTTGTGCAAAGCTTTGCCGCACTGTGGGCACTTCTTCGTTTGCGCCTGCTCCGGCAGCTTGGAAGCTTGCACGTGGCATTGTCTGCAGACGCCTTCAATAGTTGCCTCCACGAAGGCAAAGAAGTTAGTGCGGCATTTCCACTGGCCACACTGCGTGCACTTGCTGGCCTTTGTGGCTCTTGCTGGCGCCGCTGCCACGCATTTCTTGCAGCGAGCGCGACGCAGCTCCTTCGTGCGCTTCCTCCGTAAGATTTCCTCCACACTGAAATCTGCCAGCTTCCGTTTCGTTTTTGTCTGGGCAGCGTCGCATTTGGCGCACGCGAGTGGCTTTTGCTGGCACACTTTGCAAAACCCAGGCTCCGCCAGCAAAGTTTTCTGGCACCAAGCGCACGGTGTGCTCTCGCCATCTGCTGGCTGAGGCTGGCTTGCGGAGCGCAAGCTACGACAGGCTCGACACACTCTGTCCATGCCCTGCGCCACGACACTGAGCCGGCAGGCATCTGGGCTGTCGAGGAATGCGTGTAAAGGCTTCAGCTTTTCCTGCCCTGGCTGCAGAAAGCTGCAGAGGCGGCATGCCAGCTGCACTTCCGGATGCCGCTTGCGCTGCTTTGCTTCCTGCTCGAAGCGGGCTTTGGCTTCTTCCAAGGTGAGCGTCTGTCGGTGTACTTCGAGCAGCGTCCGCGGGCCTATCAAATCGCCTTGGCACAGCAGATTTGGCGAAAAAGGCCGGCTCACGCACAGGTCCTCCCCGTGCTTCACTCGAGACAAGCACATGTAAGCGCTAAGTTGGGCATCGCAATCCGAGATCCAAGGTGCACGCAGACAGGGTCGCGCCCATGAAGGAATGCGCCGTGCCGGCGTAGTCACAAGCCACTGGAAAGCCTCTGCGCAGCACGGATGCTTTGCTGTCCGCCGCCAGCTGCCACTGCTGCTGCACAGGCCGGATGCATGCGACACCTGCTGGCAGGCCCGGCTGCTGCGTCCAAGTAGCCCCTTCCACTTGGATGAACAGGCACTTTGGCATGCCTTGGAGTACGAAGTCTGCGGACGTGGACGTGCGGACGGCCTCGGCGTCTGCGTCCTGCAAACACCAGTTCACGAGCTTCCCGCGGCTGTTCTTGAAGAGGCGGAGAGGCTTCAGCTCTGGCAGGGTTAGCGTGATGCGCGCGGGCATATTTGGCAGCAACGGCAGCAAGCCCATGATGCCGCCCGTGGCTTGGTCGTGTCGTTGCAGCCAGTTCTCCTTCCGCGCCTCCAAGTGCCCGGCGTCCTCGTCTGGATCCACTTGGAACAAAGGCATGTCCTGGGCCACGACCCAGAGGAGCATGTTTGCTCGGTCGCAACGTACCGGGCGCGCAGGAGAGCGGCCACATACTTGGCTGCGTTGTAGCCGTGCACGAATGGGCCTTCCAAGAACTTGGCCTGGCGAGGATCCGGTGCGCCCGGGCGAGAGTCTGCCACGACGCAGCGTCGTGCTCGTTCAGTAGCACAGACTGCGCACTCCTCCTTGGCACGCTCGGCCCAGCTTCGAGCAGTGCCGGCCGCAATGGCTTGTTGCCACTCCTCCGCCAAGTTGCTGCAGCGTTCTTGCCTGCAGGTGCACAAGTTCGTGACAGGGCACCAAGACCCGGCGTGCAGCGTGGCGTAGCCGTGGAGGTAGGCCCATGTCTCTTGTGTCATGGCGCCATACCGAGCTTGCTGCAACACGTGGCTCAGCCACGGGTCTACACAGCGGTGCTCCTGCGTGAGCTCGAAGAGGTGCTGGATGTTGTCCCGGTCATGCGTCCACAGCATCCTGTGCAGGTTGGCAACCTGGATGCTTTGCGCCTTGGCAAAAGGATTCTGGAACAAGGACGTGGCGCGCACCGCCGGGAACTGCCAGAAATCGCCCGCGATCAGGAGGTTCGCGCCCCCGAAGGGACGGTCCTGCTGCGCACTCCGGCACCGCCAGCTGTGCTTCTTGCGGGTGGCGTCCGTCAGCCGCTTCTGCAGCACTGCGAGCACCTCCAGCGGCACGGTGCTGCACTCGTCAAGTACCAGCCAGCGGAGACGCTGGTACTTGACGTACGTGTCCGGGCCCGCCGGGGTCTCGCGCGCCGCCTTTCGAGACTTTGGGCGAAGATCGGCAAAGGCATGCACGGTGTTGCCGTCGATCAACGCCGCCTGCGTGTTCTGCGGCGCCACGAATATAAATTCGTGCTCGTGCCGCCACTGGCAGACTGTCTCGAAAAAGTGCCTGAGCCATTTCAAAGTTTGGCTCTTTCCCGCCCCTGGCACACCGTGCAGCAGGGCGCGGGAGGGCTCAGACCGGCAAGGCTTGGCGGTGGCTTCCTCGACCGCTTGGCTAAGCAGTGGTGCACGACGTGCTGCAGGAAGGCCAGCTGCTCCGCGCTCGGGCCTGGCGTGCTGCGTTGCAGCTCTTGTAGCCACGCGTTGGCCGCCTCAGGCGTCAGCCTTGCGTACACGCAAGCCACGCCGGGCTGCGGCAACGCATCTGCAGGCGGCGGACGCTGAGCGGTTGCGGCGGCTGCAGGCTTGCCGGGATCTGGTATGCCCGTACATCGGGCAAGGTCCGCAGAAGTGTCTTGCGCGGGACCCGTGCGCCACTGCTCGATGATGTTGCGCACGGCCGGCGCGGTGCGTGCGGAGTACTGGAAGCTGCCGCCTTCGCAGACACGGTGCACGGTGCTGACATCCACCCAAGTGGTGTCCACTTCGGCACAATGACGCTCGGCTTTGACTGCCTCTACGTCATCCTCGTCTGCACCACACTCCGCGGCTGCAAGGAAGTTGCGGATGGTTCTGCCCGCATGCTCTGACACGACATGGGACTCCACATAGTCCTTCCACGCAGCTGCATGGCTCGTCTCTGCAGGCGCCGTCTTTGTGCGCAGCCGGCGCGCAGGCGCGATGCTTGCTTGCAAGGCAGAGATAGGCAAATCCAGCGAGTCGATGTGCGGCACATGCATGCTGGCATCTTCCACATCCAAGGTCCATGGGCGCAGGTACACATTGAAGAGCCGGGCCTGTGCATCCGGCGACATGTCGCTTTTAGGCAGCGGGCACATGGTCGGAAAGGGCACCACTGGCTCTTGACGGCTCTGAGGAAGCTTCCATGTAGACATATATGCATAGATATTATATATATATAGATAGATACATACAGATATAGAGATATAATACAGATATAGCGGGGTCTGAGCCAGGATGGACGGACTGAGGCAGGAGGCTTTGCGAACCCTTAGTCGAACCCCGGGATGGTTTTGCGAACCTTAGCTTAAGGGTCTTTGGGTGTCCCCCCTTTGTGGTGGTCACATCCGTTTTGCCCTGAAAAATGTATGAACATGTCGGAAACCCCCTTAGCAGTGAGGCTTCTGAGTGCACACGTTTGCGTTTTTACACTTGGGCGCGGCCGGTGGTCTGTCAGCAACGCAAGTCCGGCCACCGGGGCCTTCAGCCCCGCAGGGCCTACCTTCAGGTACAGGGCCAGCGCCCCACGTGCATTTTCCCGGTGGCCGGCTGTGTCGCGAAGCGCTTAAATATATGTGTTCAGCTATTGATCCATCAATTTGTGCTTGCCTATTGATTCATTCATGTTCTGATATATTTATCTACTTTTCGGGTCTCCTGAGACCTGAAAACGTCTCTTGCCTCGCCATTCAAGACGGCCGCCCAGGCTTCCTCGGCCATTTTCATCGGCCTCCCTCGCTCCAAGTCTCATTGGGGCCCCGGCCAGCCAGGCCGGCTCCAGCGGCAGCAGCTCGATCGGAGAGCCTGCAGAACTCGCACATCCGACGGATTTTGAATTCGCAAAGAAAAGCGCAAAGAGAAAAAATCCGAGCAAGAGACACCGATTACTCGCACTTGACACAGGCGAGCGCCGTAAGATGTATCCTTCTGTGTACAGCGGTCCGCCAGCACCTTCGCCTGGAACTGGACCTCGAGAGTTCACAAAGTGGCCACTCGCGCACACCTGTCACGTCCCTGAGGTGTGTGCCCGAACCTTGTCGAGGGTGAGTAAAGAGAGGAGCTGAGAGATGCCGTCCGGATCAAACCTCGGTTGCATCCCGCAGCCTTTCTCGATCTTTCTCGAGCCTGAGATGGTCATGGTGCTGCAGGCTCGGGGCTCATAGTGCAAGGTCGTGCCGCACAGTGCTTCTGACGGCCTAGGTGCCATTCCGCCACATGGCGACTGACACTTCAAGCTTGGGCTGCCGGCGGATACTTGAGGAGGGAAAGGGCAATGTCCGGACACAGCTGGAAGGGGGAGGCATCCTTCCAGCTCCGATACTCACATCTACGCGCCCTCCGGGCTGAAGGAGCATGGCCCACCGCACTTGTGACCACTTTGCCCCTCCTCCTTGAACTTGAAGCCAATCTCGCCCAGCCTTTAGCACGTGGCTGAGTTTCCGAGGGCAACCCGGCAATCCCCACATGAGACAAGATGCATGAATCTGGGGACCTGCAAGATGGGAGCGGCACCAGAGAAAAAAGGTCCCAGAGCATGTCATTGCAGCCCTGGTCCGACGAGCGCCGCACTTCTGCATTTCGTCGAAGATGCATTTCTCTGGCTTGGTGTTCTGGAGCCTCAGCACAGCTCAGAGGCCAAGAGGCCAAGAGGCCAAGAGGCCAAGAGGCTAAGAGCCTGGCATGCCAAGATAGGCAAAGAAGTACCGCCTCAATACGAGCTGGCAAATGAATACAACCGAGCACTCTGCCTCTACTCGTACGCGCACAGAGCCCCTCGCCCGATTTCGGCTATAGAGTCGAGCCCTTTGTCTGTGAGCTCAAAGGTCACATTCAGCAGGCTGAAGGCTCCTTCCTGCAAGGTTTGCAAACCGTTTTCTTGATCACCAGGATCAAAGGCCTCCCTTCCTTCCAGGCAACCAATCCATCAACATGGTGTTTCCCAGATTGACCCTCTTAGCATTTCCACCAACTTCTGATGTTCGATGAAATCTCTGCTTGGCTGCAAATCCATCCTCTGCTCCCCCAAATCCATGGAAGAGGCCCTCCCTTGAAACCACAGTTGAGTGCTGGATAGGCTGGCCGGCCTACATACTTTACGCCTATGGCAGCCGTCCCCAACACGGGGGCAGCTGCGGTTGTGACAACCGTCAACACAGCTTTCCGTGGCTTTCAGCACGCGGGCATAACGCCAAAGCAAACTTTGACGATATGCGCCGCACAAGCAAGTGGTGAAACGCATATTTCTGCGAAGTGTGGTGCTGCGTTTGGCCAGACAACATTGCTTTGAAGGAGGGGGGCGGCCCTGCCACATCAACCCTTCGTCTCCCCCTCCCCCCCCACCCCCGCGCTCCAGCCACGCACCGTTGTCTGCCGTACAGGCTGAGATCAGCCTCAAATCCACAAAACGTCCGGCCCGGCACTGCGAAGGCTGTCGGCGCTTCCGAGGGCGGTGCCCTTTCTGCTTCAGGGCAGCGATCACCTGCGGAGTCTCGGAGTGGGTCGGCCGGGGTCGGCCGTCGGCCGTAGCTCAGCCCCCTGCCGAGCCCTTGCCCTCGTGGCCCAACCTGACCCGCAGCGCCCGCAGCGCCCGTCGATCCGACCGAAGCGAACGAAACCAGCGAGCTGAGTGGGAGCCCTGCAGGTGGGAGATGTACTCCACCGGCTTGGAGCGCCAGAGGGGAGCCTGGAGCCCAAAATCTCGGCTCGCGTTGAATGCGTCCAGTTCCCCTCCTGGTAGGGGATGACCCAGCTGAACGTCAAGTCCTGCGAGGCTCGGAAGCGGCCTAGAGGCTGATTTTCCGCAGTCACGGCCCTTGCACAGCAGTTGCAGCCAAAAGAAACAGTTCCGGCCTTCACATCCTGCACTGGGTTCATCAGCAGCAGCTGGTGCCAATCTGAGGGCTTGAAGGGCAAGTGGCTGCTAACCTCGAGCAGAGCTTCCGACATTTCCGGGGAGCATGCCATGCGGGAAGAGACTCTGAGAGCCAGACATTGTCCCCAACCGGCATGTCGACGCCTTTGTTGACCACCGGCCCAAACCTCACTCGACAGCTTTTGCGTCACTCGAAATCTGTCGCCCGGTCCCGAAGCTGATCCCTTTTGCATTCAGGCCCTTGCCCGATGACACAACCGCAGCAAAGCAAAGCCTGCTGACTGCATCTGCAGAGCAAGCAAACTAGGCAAGCATCTGCTTCGCCACGAATTCGGCGTTCAAGCCATGAACCCTCGGAAGATGAGGTGAATACTTCGAGCTTCGTTGGCAGGCATCTGCCGAGTTCAAACATGACTTAGCTTTGATACATTGGAGGGGTTGCTCGGAAGTTCCAAGTTGCTCACATCTCCTTGGCCAAGAAGGGCCGCGCAGAAAACTTGTAAAAAGTGTTCTCGGAACCTTTGCCGTGTTCCGGGCTTTACATTTCAGGAAGCAGCCCTAAAGCGTGCCGGCGAATGGCGCGCCAATCTCCTGGCCTCAAGGGCCCCAAGATCTGGCAGGTCCACGCAACCGCGAGAAACGTGAGACTGGAGCTCAATTGAAACCTCTCAGCCGCTTTCAAAGCTCTGCCTCAAAGGGATTCCAAAAGCCAGACCGCGGCGCAGGCTTCGCCCGCGCCAGGGACACCAGGAAAATCATAGCCTGGCGAAGCTCAAAGCGATGAAGGTCACGTGATGTCATGTGCATTCTTTGGCCATGACCAGAGCCATGCCAATTTCTGCAAACTGTTAACTGCAACAACTGGGGGGCCAGCTATGGCGATGAGGCAATGCCCTTGTTGAGCCATCACAGCAAGAAGCACCAGGACCAGCAGGGCTCTGCGCCATCGGATCAGTCTGGGTGAGCCCTCAGGATGCCAACTTTTCTTCCAGACATTCGAGCCATGTGCCAAAAGTTGCTGCCCAGCAGCTGTGGCGATCGCTGCGATTGCCGCGCGCTGTGCGAGCAGTGCGGAAAAGTATGTCCTGGAGTCCGAGGTCAACGCGTCAATGAGTCAAGGCGTGGAATGGCCGGCCCTCCTCAGCTTCCTGTTCGCCACAGCGCCAAAGCAGTAAGGCACGAGCACCCGCGCACAGCGGATGCCCACGCGAAGACGGAACTCCTGACACCAGGCGTGTCCATGTGCAGTGGCACACCTATAGACTGTGGCAACTCCAAAGCACAACGAACTGCGGTAAGTGCGACCTTTGAGTCGCCTGTTGGAGGCGCGCGGATTGGTGCACACCCTTCATCTATCACAATTTGCTCGAAGCACTACACGGGCTGACATTTCTTCATCCATGCTCCCAGCGTTCCAGTGCTTCTTTTTAACGGAGCGTTTCCGCGCGAAAATGACATGTGGAAAGACATTGTCTGCCTGCGCAACCAGGAATTTGCTCAAACCCCGCAACATTGGCAAGCATGGAAACCTCCAAAGGTGGGCAACGTCCGCTACTCGCCGGCAACCCGCAGATGTTGCAGCTCGCCAAAATTTCCTGAGACTGAACTTCACCTACGGCTCATCGGCGCCATTTTGATGTGTCGCCGTGCGACCGATGCGTTTCGCCCCTTTGGATCCCAAAGGAAACCGCCTCCCAACCCCCCCCCACCGCGCCCCCCCGCCCCCCCGCCCCACCGCCCCCCACCGGACCGCGCCCGGAAGGCCGCCGCCAGGTGGAAGGAGGCAGGGAGCTGGGGGCTGGCCACCAGAGACACCCCCAGGAAGTGCAGAGGTGTGGTGAAGAGCTGCAGCGGCAGCGGCAGCAGAATCTGCACCGCGTCCTGGATCGGTTCCAGGAGCTTTCTACTCGAATCGCATCCCTCATCCCTTTTCTCCTCTAGGGCCTGTGATGCGGCCGAGTTGTTAGAAGCTATTGGAGGAAAAGGAAGATGGCTGACCACGAGGCTGTCCACGTGTCCCCAAATTGGCAATAGATGGGGGTCATGAAACCGATGCCATGGAGACCACTGAGACAGGTCCTGCGTCTGGAAACCCGCAATGGTTTTGACGCCGCGGGACGTGAGGAATTTGCTGAGGGGCTCCGGGATTACGAAGACGACCAGGGAGAAGACCAGGTCTCTCGCCACCCAAGCCACGACAGCTGCCTGTGGCGGCACGATGTTGCCCCCCGTGAGGTACGCATCCTTCAGGCACATGATGACGCAGTTCACAGTGGTGGTGAAGAGCCAGACCTGCGCACATGGTCCCCAGAAACCCAGAAACTCGCGGCTTCACATCCAAAACCACGAACCATTTTGCTTTGTCAATCAATGCGCTGATGGACTTGGAAGCTGTTGGTGCGAGCTGCGTACAAGGCCGGCGGCCATCGAAGCTCATCACAAACAGATCGGGTGGAGTTGGCCATGCCGTAGGTGCCGGCGAAGAGGAGCCACGTCCAAGCGACCGCTGGCACCACAGTGTCTGGACGCCTCAGGCGAAGGCAGTTGGTTGGGTCTCTGTCGAGCTGGGCTCGCCGTGTTTTGGCACGAGCAAGTCGCAGCCTCGAGTCTTCGAGTCTGGCAGTCTGGCAGTCGCCAGAGAACTGAAACAAGCCGCCTGGAGCCTGATTGCCGCCCAAGCCGCAGAAACGTGTCCCGAAAGACATGTCCTAGAGTGACCAGCGCGCCTGGTGAGTCGGGCTTGCCGGCACCTGCCAAGGAAAGGAAAGGAGTCAGCTTGAGACGTCGTGAGGTCATGAGGTCACGGCGCAACATGGCCAAGTCCATGGGAGCCAGCAGGAAAGCCAGTGCCAGGCCTAGGAAAACGCAAACGCAAGTGCTACCGGGAGAGTCAAAAGCTGAGGCTGGTGCCAACAAGCAGCGCAGCAAGAACATCTGCCAGAAGGCGCCGAGATAAGCACGGCGTGCCTCTGCGAGGCAAAATTGGCACGCAGAATGCACGCCAACAATTTGGGCGAATCCTGCTGACCTAATGCCTACTGAGAATGAGGCCGTCTGCCGCTGGCCATTTGCTCTTTGCAAATGGCTGCCGCAGAAGCGCAGGCAGGGCCGGAAACGTGTGCGTCATCCCAGAGGAAGCTCAGAACAGCGAAAACTCGGGTATCGTGCTTGCTGCTTTTCGCCTGTGCAGACTGTTGCTTCTGAAGCTTGGCACTAGTGTCGCGGCCATGCACAACTATGTCACCCTGTCGCCAAGTCAGCCAACTCCGCTTTCAAAACGGTGTCACGGTGTCACACCGTGGATTTCTGCCTGGGCTGGCCGCTTGTCGCGCACGATCTGGCGGAGCTCTGCAGTTGGCTCCTTGCCGAAGACGCAGAGCCTGAGACAGGAACTTGCAGTCTGAAGCACTTGGTACTCCCCGAAAGCTTGCAGCGGCATGGGGGATTTCAAGATTCCTAAGCATGGCCACTGTGCCATTCCCCTGAGGCGTGTGCGTCATACCATTGGAGGAGTACGTTGACTCCTGCTGATGCTATCACTGCGGCTTCGTGCTTCTCTCAAGATGGCAAGTCTCAGGCTCGTGATGGTTACATACTGGAGTGGCGCCCGCTTGCTCTCTAAGGCCAATCATACGGGCCACAATTCACACTTTTATGTGTCTTGTACCCCGATAACATCGGACTTTGCAAAAGGAACTCAACCGCCCCGATGCGAGGGCTGAGATTGGCACATACAGCTTCTTCATCTCTTCGTAGAGGTCAATGCCCCTCTCCTTCGGATCCTCCAGTAGGACCTTCAGCATGCACCGAAAGCAGTCTGCCTTGGGCCATGTCTTGAGGCGCCTTGTTGTTGCCCACGGCAACATGAAAGGGATGATCGGGATTTGCGCTCATGTTGAGAATGCCGACCTCAAGCTCATTCATGCAGGTAGTTTGCCTGATAATATGCTTGAGCCACCCACGTAGCGCCACCATGGGGACGTGAGGCCAGCTTGAAATTCCGAGTCCACCTCCGACGAGCCAGCGGCCGGAGGTCAAGGCGCAGCCACTTGGGTATGGGTCAAAATCCAAATCGTACCCCCAGTGAACATCCCAATCCAACCACTAAAATAGGTTCGAAAATGCGTGGTGAATTCACCTACCCCAACATGGAACCATTGGTTTTGACCCACCACTTGTCTCGTGCAATCAGCGCTGCTCCGAGGCCGCCGGCCGCATTGATCTCGCGCTCCGTGCAGTCACGAGTCAGCAGCGGCTCGGTGAAGAACCGGGAGAAGCGGTCCAGAGCCTTCGAGGTTCCCGTTGAAAGCCAGGTTACGAACGAAATGAGACAACTCAAGAGCGATCTCAAACACCGAAAAAAATAATACCAAGGCCTCTGTGAGCGATTCGGGCTTGATCTCAAACCTCGCAGTGGAAGGCAGAAACAGTTTGGAAGCATTTTGGCCGCTCTGACACCTGGAGATTCCCGTCACTGCCACCAAATTCTACCAGAAAAGATCCCCAGCCAACTGAAGTGCTTTATCTCCGTCGGCCACTCTCAAGTCTTCGGATGTGGCATCTGCCGGAAAGGCGGAAGGCTGAAGACCCCGGTCCAGCGATCGGGAATTCGGAATTGCTGAATTGCTGCTCAAGCTCTGGGCGTCTTGCATGTAGTTGGTGAAGTAGCATGCTGTGTACGCGTTGGCAAGGCCGCCGTTCTGCTGAATGAACTCATGGTAGTCACCTGAATGGCACACCATTGGCGCACGACTTTCTCTTTGACATGCTTGTTCTGCTCCCAAATCTTTCAGCGAAATTCCTGTACATACACGACCAAATGGCATGATCTCTTGGGGCAACCTGACGGCCTCGCAAACGGCCGCCCTGGCCTTCTTTTGGATACTTTGCAGTTCCTGTGAAGAGCATATGCTCCAAGAAGTGAGCCAAGCCAGGCAGGTCCTTCCTGCACAAGCGCCACAAGCTAAGGCATCTAGGGCTGTGGTGATGCTGACCTGACTCGACCCCGAATCCCCGCCTCTCATGGCACATCCCCACGTTCACGCAGAGCGCCGCTCCAGCCTCTGAAGCGCGACACGGCGCATCACGGGCGCTTCGTGCTGGCGAAGCGCTCTCGAGCCTTGTCGCACTCGGGATCTGAGCCGAGGATCGCCTTGAGGCCGTTCTCCAGCTGCAAGAAGGAGTACTCCTGGCTGGCCGCGGATTTGATTTTTGTTTGCGCCCGGCACATATCTTGCTTGGCATCACCTCGCGCGCAGCTTTTTGCAAAGCCTAGTCTTCGGCCACAAGGGCCGGATCACACTCTGGCTGCATGTACCTATGGGCGATTTGGAGTTCAACACAAGCATAGCAGCAGTGCATGTCTCATTGAAGCGAACAGGGTCACGTGCTCCCCAGCTGCGCACTATCCTGCCAACACTTCTTGCTTCCTTCACTTTCCACCCCCAAAAAAATGGAAGAACAAAGAACAAGGAGTCTTTTGAGACTAGTGATTTCCGCATGACTTGTGTGCAATCGAGCCAAGTGCTAAGTTTCTTTGGTTGGAGGCGCTTGCTCCTTGTTGTCTTGGAAGGCTTTCACCACCTCCTCCAGCGGCAAGGTGTCAAAGGCCAAGTTGTTGACTTCGCGCCTCACGACTTTTCCCAAGGTCCGATGTCCCAGATGGCTGTGGCTCCAAAACATGTCACCAAAATTTGGCACCTTGGCAAATTTTAACCAAAGACCAAAAGACTTGCGCAACCACAGCGTTTTCTTTAATTTTGGGCCAACGTCCAAAATGCGGCTCCGTCAGATCCGTCGATTCCATGCGACTTGTCTTGTGTCGGATCATTCCAACCGGCGCGCCTGGCCATGTAGATCACCAGCAGCGAGGCGCAGGCCGCGGCCGGCGGCCCGGCCCAGATGCCCTCCCGCGCCAGCGCCCGCAGCACCCCCACCATGAGCATCACCTGACGCAATCGAAACCCATCGGTATGGTCGTCCAACCATGGTACAGGAAAAACGAAGTTGCAGCGCGTTTTCAACGGAAAGAAGCGTGCGGCTGGAACGAAAAATTCGAAGCTTGCATAAGCTTGCGGAGAAGATTTGGCAAAGCTTGTTGTGCCGAGACGCGTAGATGGCCAAGATGAGGAACATCTGCTCCATGGCCTGCCAAGGCATGTGCCAAAATCTGCGTCATGGACGGGCGGCAAAAGCAAGGCCTGGACCCAAAAGACTCCTCCGGTGTCTGGCTTCTTGCTCTCGCAGAACAGCAGCATGTAGCCATAGACAAACTGCGCCAGGAAGAAGTAGATCCAAGTGAAGACCTGGCAGAAATGAATGACAGATATCTGACCAAAAAGAAAGAAGAAAAGAAGAAAAACCAAACTGCACGCGGGGGCCACCAGGATCAACGGCGAGCACGAGGAGAAGGTGTAGAAGATCGAGGCCATGAGGACGCTCCGGGCCTGGCTTCCCGGGGGCGCAAGAACCGAAAAATTCGTTGGTCGGTCGAGCCACCCGAAATGCATTGCGTATGACGGTCTTCGAGCCACCAAAAAGAAATTCGTCGGGGCGGCCATGCGGGTGCCCAGGCCGTAGTACGCCGCGTCCTCCTGCTCCGAGTACTGCCTCGCCTCCTCCTCCTGCCATTCCGAATTCCGCGCCGGGCTATGGCCAATGGCAAGTCGCCATGGAGAAACCACCGGGAGCCTCGAACGCGCAGACCTTGCGGAAGAAGAACCACTTGGCCTCAAGTCGACACAGATATCAAGCTGCATCAAGCTGCATCAAGCCTGGAAGCTTCGTTGAACAACTTGGCATCCACCCCCTCTGAGTCATGCTGGCACTCAAGCCGAGCCCTTGTGGGCCATGTCCATCGGACAAAGAACTCAGCCAAGGCTCCAGATTCGCCATTCGGAGCATGTCCTTGGCTCAAAGGCGCAAACGCAAACGCAAACGCGGCGCAAGAAGTTGCAGCCATGCAGCTAGTGGCAAGACGAACCAGCCCAAGATCACGTAGTTGAAATAGAAATGCGAGGCAGACGGCAAGGAAGCAGCCAACCTGACGCAGCTTCTCCGGGGCCTTCCGGAAAATCCACTTGGGCAGCACCCACATTCAACTTTTTCCTTATGAGTTATGGGCCTTACCCTCCACATGAAACCTTACTGCCAACAGACGTTTTTCGCTTCAACTTGAGACCCCGGCAGGCTGACGATTTTGGCCGGCTCCTGCGCTCAGAGCTCCGAGCATTTTTTTCTGCGTGCAACGCCCATGGTCCTGCATGACGATGACGAAGGTGATGGTCAGACCACGTCCCAAGGACGTGACCAAAACCACAAAGAGGAGCAGAAAGGCTGTGCTCCACTGCTGAAGCTTCAGCTGTTCGATGCTCCCTGCTTTCAAGTGCAGGGTGGTAGTAATAATGAAATGCAGAACTGTAGGCAGAAACGCCATGAACATCTTCAAAGCTGCCGTTGCCAAGACCCCTGACAGCAAGTTGCCCACTGCCGGGTGCGCGTGCACAAACTTCTTGATGACTGGCACCGTTCCCTGGATCGAACTCAAAGTTGTCCAGCCGGAGATGGCGACGACGATGGGAACCCAGAACAAGAAAACTGCCACCAGCGCGAGCTTGCCTCGTCAGGCTTGGAACAGGCTCATCTCATGTGACCAGTTAAGAATGAAATTAATATGCTTGGGTTTTTTTTCTCTGCTTGTGCTCGTGCGGGTGTTCTGTGTTTTGGGTTGTGGTGCTATCTTTGGTTTCCCCCATTTTCCAGCCGTGCGCAATGAGCACAAGCTGCTGTCATTCACCAACGGGTGTTGTCGTTTGCTTAGACTGGAGGTTGCTCAGTCCGTTTTCCGAGCTGAGTTGGGGGTTGATTCTGAGTTGGTCAGTGTATGCCTACAGTTGGCTTGCGGGCTTAGTGTTTGGTGTATAGCGGGCTAAGGAATGGTTCCCTGTTGACTTTGGAAGGACAAAGGCCTGCTTGAGGGTTCGACTAGTGCTGGGTTCTTGTCTGGGCTAAGGTTTGGAGTGAAGCTCAAGGTCAAAACACCTTGTAAAAAAAGTTGCTTACACGATCAATCATGAAAGAAGTCGTCATCTGCCGCACATGAAAGATTGAGAAAAGAGCCTGGAAAACGGGATTGTCTGGCGATGTTGTCGAAACTGATCCTTACCCAAGCTACCGATCCACTTCCAAGAGGAAGCGTTGATATCGTCCTCTGCCAGGTTCTCGTAGAGGACATCATGAGGGTCGGGAGCCATGTACATCCTGAAGGCCTGCACGTCACGCGTGCATTGCCTTGGCATTAAGAGAAGCTTCAAAGAACACGTGGCTCAAACCGGTAAATGAAACCCCTCCGCACCTGCGTAACGTAACCCCTCCGGCTTACAATTTTGCACCACGCAGAGCGCGCAGAGCGAGCGGCTCCCTGGAGGCCAGGCGCTGGGACAGGATGGTGGTGAAGGTCACGAAGCCCGAGGAGGACGCCACCTCCACTGCGCTCAACTTGCGCCAGATACGAGGCAGTTGTCAGAAGGAAGTCGAGTGGGATGGAAACTTCCAAGGCTGGTCAAATATAGGTACCCAAAATGGAAGCATAGCAGCATAGCACTAAAATCTGTGGTCCCCTGGTGGTTTAACTTTGACCCATACCCACCAGAGACGATGGGAAACTGCTGGATGGTTCTTCGTCTGATGTCTCCCGGCCTTGGAATCGGGGCGTGGGCCTTGCAGGGCCGCCTCGATCTGCGCTTGCTCCTTGGCCACGCGAGACCTGCGGCTCGCGCATGCCCCGATGCCCAGCCCAACCCCACAGGCCTGAGGGTATCGACAGCTGACCTCGGATGGAGAAAGCTCAACAGACTACTCGACTCGTCCAGTCTGGACAAAGGTACTGGGCGCTCGCTTCCCGGGTCCAAGTCACTTGCTCCTCTTCAGCTCCATCTCCAGCTCCGAGGTCGGCAAGCCCCGCAGCCGAGCCTGGCCGTTTGACATACGTGGTGCCTCATTTAAACAAAAAATGAACCGACAAAAATCAGAAGAGGCGCAAGCAACCTGCAAACTGCTCTGGGAAAAGCCAGGCCCAGGCCTTGTTCAGCCGGTTGGATGTCACGGCCGCCTCATACTGGGACGACTGCATCTGCTGCACCTCGGATGCTGCAAGCATCCAGTGCCGGCAACTGGGCTTCTCAGGCCCCAGCCAGCTTAGGCAGCCGGCCTGGACGCATCTGCACCAAGCCGACTTTCCCTCTCCCATGGCCGTGTCCAGCCTGTTTTGCGAATCACATAGGCACGCTCCACGGTGTGCATCGACTCCTCGCTGAAGACCTGGGGACATGTTGCTACTTCACGCCAAAGCGGGTGCCATCGGCCGCTGCCATCGGCCCGCTTTCGCCGAGCGTCCGTATCAAAGTACTCCTTCAGCGCGCTGTCGGAACGATACATTGGCGGGATGTTCCGCACCATGACTGTGGTGGATCTGGGTCTGGGCACAGTCGACAGCCACTGGTATCTTCTTTCCGTGAATCCATCATGGGCCAAAGTGATCCTCAGCAATCACAGTTCATCCTCTAGAATTCCTCACAACACATCACGATGGCCAACAACTCCACTCGACCACTCGCCGCTCGCACAAAAAATTGAAGACCTTGGCACGCCCAACTAGAGGTACGACTGTGCCATGCCACTGCGTACTCTGCCCGATGAGAAAAAACAAGTGACCGTGGATGTTTTGACTCCGGTCACAGCTTTTGTTTCTTCCAGTCAGGCTTCTGCCAGGTGCTGATGAGCACGACGAACCACACCACCGCGGCATGGAACCACAGCATCCAGTCCTCCCGGGGCAGGTTGCCGATGTCCAAGCGGCTGAGCCAGTCGAGGGTGTTGTGGGATTCGGTGCTCGCCACGAAGTGCAGGGGCACCAGCACGGAGAGCAGGAAGGGACCAAGGATGGACATGATGCGCAGGTTCAGGCGCACAAACTCCTTCCATTCAGCCGAGCTGGAGCTGGGGGGCAACAGCCACATTCGGAAACAGATCTGCAGGCTTGAGAAAGCCGAGGTTTAGCGGTGAAACCCGGAAATTGCGGTCTTTTCTGCCGAGACACCAGGAGTGACCATCCATCCAGGCCAGCCAGGCGCACCTCATCCTCCGGGGTGCTGTTCCAAACCCGCCAGATGAAGTCCAAGCACCGCAGCCCGGAGCTCACCTTGGAGAGTTCGGGGAGTCCAGTGGGCTCTGAGTGGGAAACCCCCCGGATCGATCCGCGCCTCCAGGTGATACTGATCCGCCTCCTCCGGCTCGCCTTCAGAAAATGTCTCAAAATGTCGCGGTGATGGGGTGATTTGGCGTGTGGGGGTGGGGTGCTGCACTTGCCACCGGGAATGTCCAAACTTGAGACCTTGCCAGGGGAGCGCCTCGCAGATGTTTTATGGCTGAAATCACGGCCGGGCGGCTCCGGCGTCGCTCGTAGACTTGCGGCACGGCGACGCGCAGGAAGGCGAAGGCCAGCAGAACTCCTTAAACCAAACGAAGCAGAGCTTCGTGCCGGCGAAAGGCAGCCAAAGGAAACACTCCGAGCGGTCCTGCCGCGCCCAAGCCTCCCACGAAGAGGGAGGTGTTCAGAGTCTGAACGTCCCGGGTGCCGTTCAAGGCCACGCCCATGACCTGAAAAGAAACCGCGGCACTCGCGTCCCGGCAGGTCAGCCGCCCGCCTTGCGCGGCTCCTCGAAGATCTCCTTTTCCAGATCGGCCCTCGGGACACGGGGCGCGCCTCAAACTCTCAAACTGCCGTGCGCCATCCAGTTGCAGCCGAGATGCGCGGAATCTTTCTGGATGTCCTTGGCATGTGTTTTCCCCAACAGCTGAAAGCTTTGGGGTCTCAGCCCAGATAGGCTCCGGGGTGGTTCGGGGCGACCCTGAGCTAAGGTTCCACCAGGGTTCCACCAGGGTTCCACCAGAGTTCCACCAGAGTTCCACCAGGGTTCCACCAGGTGGGTTCCACCATCTGCGAGGTTTCCACCAGGGTTTGGGGTGCTTTGAGGTAAGGTTCCACAAAGGTTCCACCAGGGCTGCAGGCGGTGGTTTGAGGTAAGGTTCCGCGAGAGTTCCACCAGGTTTCCACCAGGGTTCCACCAGCCCGTCGTGCTCCGGACGCCAATTTCTTCGAGGGCTGCGGGGTGGTCCGGGCTGGTTTGAGGTAAGGTTCCATGAGGGTTCCGCCAGAATTCCACCAGGTTTTGCAAGGTAAGGTTCCATGAAGGTTCCAGCACGGTTCTAGCAGGGTTCCACGAGGCTGCAAGGGCTGCGGGGTGGTTTCAGGGTTCCACGAGATTCTGCGAGGGCTGTGGGCCCTGACGTTTGACGTTCCACAAAGCTCTGCAAGGATTCCACACGGGTTCCACAAGGCTCCACAATGTTCCACCAAGGGTTCCAGAAATGTTGGCTTTGTGGCAAATCAGATCACGTCGCTGCGGGACTCACGGTGCAGCAGAGTAAATGCTTGGCCTTGCTGCTTGGTGGGCTTTGGGCTCCAAGAATTCCACGAGGCTGCGAGGGCTATGAGGTAAGGTTCCAAAAGCGTTCCACAAGGATTGCACCAGGTTCTGGCAGCCCTGAGGAAAGGTTCCAACAAAGTTTCACGCTGAGCTCCACGAAAGTGCGAGGTTCACCGGGCCCGATTGCACTGTCGGTGCCCGATTGCACCATTTGGGCCCGATCGGCCCCGATTGCGCCATCGCGCCCCGATCGGGGCCCGACTCAGTCGGGCATCGCCTAGTTTTGCTATAGATACAGTTGCAATCCGCATGCTAGGGAACACCGGCGTCACGGGACGATCGGCCCCGATCGCACCGTCCGCTGTTGGGGATATCGCCCGAGCTTATTTTAGTGAGCGGCACACAGCTACAAGCTGGGTGAAAAGGGTGTAGAGAAGAGAGCGCAACGTTACTGCGTGGCCCGATTTCACGGACTAAGAACAAGCGACACAATGCCAAAGAAGCTAGAGCTCAAACTACTCATAATGTCATATATCACCTGATCTGTGTGCAGCTATGTCTGTGTCAGCACGAGCGCAAAATGGCTATCCTGATCCGTGGAGACCTTGCAACCAACCTCCTAGTCTTTTCTTGCCAGCAAAGTCTGGAGCTGTCGTAGTCTTCAGTGGGTCCAGCTTGTAGCTCATTTCTTCATACGGTGCCAACCAGCCCTACAATCGGGGCTGGCCGCTGGCACAAGCACCATTTTGAAAAGAGACATATCGTCAAAAGTATTTTTTGCTGGAGGAACAGACCTCTGAAGGCAGTCGCGGGCCTTGCCGGCCGCGTGCTCAAGAGCTACACTCTTGCGCGGCAACTTTGAGGACCATGAGTGGGCCATGAGTGGAGAAGGTGCAAAGCAGTGCCGCATTGATCTCAAACAATGAGAAGTTGAGTCAGGGCAAAGGTTACTAAAGCGAGCCTGCCAAATCTGCGGCTAAGATACTTGAGTGTGTATGAAAACAGTTCGCACTTGACCTTCCACGATACGCTGTTTAGACTTCATGCCGAGGCACAGGTTGCTTTGGCGGGACGGACAGCGTCTCATTGCGCCAAGCCGTGGACGAGTCCTTTGTAGCATCCTTCTGCCTCGATTGCGCGCGGCACTCTGTGTCTGGTTGCACTTGAAATCAATTCCCACCTTGGTGCTGCTACATCCGTGGCATTTTGCTCCGCACCTGTCCTCGGTTTGCACGTCCGAAGCCTTCCAAAATCCAAGAGATTCCCGGAACATGAAAAAGTCTCCCACTCGGCGTCGGGCTTCCATTCTCGCAATGGATGCTCTCGAGGCGCGCCAACCTGGCCGCACTCGACTTAAGACTCTCGCGCGCGCAAGCTGCCGCGGCGCCACGACCGGCGCCTGGGCGTCCAAGCCTCGGAAGGATGAGACCTGCGAGCCGCGGAGAGGGGCGACATGTGAGTCTACCCAGAACCATGTAAAGAATTAAGAAGGCGGCCGCAGCTATTTATGGTTGGGATTGTCCCTTACTAACCCTCTACCCAGGTTTTGATTGTGGCTGTGAGCCCAAAGCGCCGGCCTTTGCACAGCTCACTGCCCGTAGGAGCAGGAGAAGCGCCAATATGCGGCACCACATGGTGCCACAGGCGACCAGCTACATTGAGACAAACAGCTGCGGCAAGCGGTTGTCCCCACAAGTGTGCGAATTGCAATGGACTGACGACTCGGCAAACAGGGCAGCAGCTCCCGTTTGTGCCTGGCAAGAGAAAGGTCTTGCAAGTGACACTCATTTCAAGCATGGCAGGAGCACGTGTCAGGCTTCTTCACAATCACATCCTGGGAGCTTGGCACTGTTGTCTGGAAAGCAAACAAGATACGGAAAACGCGCCTGGCTGGTTGCCGCGCTGTAGCCTCCCGTTGCCATCCCGAGCCGCACCCAGCACCTTGCCCGTTGCAACCTACCACGTGGTCTCACATGCCATCAGTGAGTCCCCGGGCAGATGACTTTGAAGCGAGACTTATGCACTCAAGAGCTATGTACAATCTCCGTTGACTTGAGCATAGCTCTGGGTAAACGAGCTGTGGTGTGTTGCTGTTCGGCTTTGGGCTGTTACGACGAATTGGCGTGCTTGCTTCATGCACGCCCTCTGAATTGTTCTTGTGCATCCTGAATGAGCCAAAACTCCAAGCTAGAATGTAACTTGGTGCTCCCCGCCGCGAGCAACTAATTACTCTTGGTCCGCCCCGCTTTTTGCCTATCTCGCAAGGTCAGGCGCCTCATTTCAAGTTGACCGGGTGTGTTTGTGGATGCCAAATGCTCGCGCTATAAGAGTCAGGCCGCAGCTGGCCGCGCACCGCCTGAGAAGCTTCATCAACGGCGAAAACCACAAGAAGAAACCGCAAGCCCGGTTCGTCGGTGCCTGGCCTGTCTTTTGACGGTGCATCTCCTGCTGCTTCTGCAAGTAGAAATCCAGCAGGTTGCCGCTGCTCCGCCCCCCGGCCGCGTCGCCTTCCGCCACTTTCTGGGGAGCGGCCGCCTTGGCGCGGCGGTAGGCGCTCCACTCCTGGAGGAAAGAGGCGGCAAAGTAGGCGCAGCCCAGCACCACCCACCAGCGCATGGGCCGGGAAGGCGCCGGCTGCGTGTCCCAAATCTCCTCCAGCGAGCGGTGCTTCCGCTTGAAGGCTGCCAGTGGCACCACGGAGGACACGGCACCCCGCACAGAGCTGCCCAGCCACACGGCGAAGCGGCGCAGAGGCTGCTCTTCGTTGGAGCCCATCTCCTGCACCCAGCCGCTGCCCATCATCAGAATCAAGCTGAAGCCCTGGATGATGGCGGCGATCTCCATGAAGCACCGCACCACCGTGCGGAAGTTCAGCTGAGGACGCATGTCCTGCGGCTGCATCTGCTGCCCAGGCTGACCCGGATATCCGGGTCCCTGCCCGTAACCAGGCTGCCCATATTGTCCAGGATACCCAGCTTGACCCGGATATCCTCCCTGTCCATAGCCCGGCTGGCCCATTGGCATGTAGTTTTGTGCTTGGTATCCCACAGCTTGGGTCTGACCTGGCAAATGCTGCCCCTCACCTCTTAGTGGCTTCTTCCCTCCATCCTTCATCACAAGTTGCACAAACTGAAACGAAAATCGCTCCGAGAACTTCAAGAAACGTCCCCAAACCCTCGGGCCTGCCGGTGCCGTGGCCACCGCCGCCGGCGCTGCCGTTGGCGCGGCCGCCGGCGCTGCCGCGCCTGCGGCCGCGCAGCGCTCCGCTCTCTCAACAAGTCTGATCGTTGATCCCGGCCTGCCGCTGTGTCGCTGGCCATCACTGAGTATGGCGAGGAAGTTGCAGTGTGTTTGGTGTGCGTGTGGTTTGGCGTGATCTTACTCTCGGAAAGGAACTCGGATGACATGAGATCTGAGCTGGGAAGTCATATCTGACTATCACTTTCTCAGGCTGAACCAGCAGTGACCGGCACAAGCCCGACTTTCCAAGCAGCTACCAAGAAAGGCATGCGCCAGCTGGATTCGCATGCATTTTCTACACAATCAGGAAAGATCAAAGCAGGAAAGGCTCCTTTTTTGGGCAATAGCTGTCCTCAAAATTGGGCATCTCTGGAGTCCTGCATGTGGGCAGCCCATTGGACTTCCGCGCTGAGGTCGGGTGGCTGCTCTACTCGGTTGCAGCCAGTCTGCTGAACCGAGCTTTGCCTCTGTCAGTCCACTGAAACCTACAGCACAGCATTGCGGAAGTTCAGTAGCTCTTCCATGGTTCTGGCAGGGTCCTGACAAGGAAGCGCTCGAAACAAAGCGCAGCGCTCCCAGTGCTGTGCTCCAGTCCTTGAGCCAACGCCAGCGCGTCTGGCGCTCTGCCTTTCGCTCTCGGAGCGCTTGGCGAGCCTTGCGGCGCCCCTCCTGGAGCTGCGCCTCGTAGTCCTTCGTGGCCTGCCGCTTGCGCCGCGCGGCTCGCAGCTCCTCCTCCCGCAGGCAGTCGCTCACCAGGCGCACGGCGCGCTGCAGGCGGCCCCGCAGGGAGAGCTCCCGGCGCTCCGCCTGGCGCCGCACCTCGCGCTCCAAAACCAGCTGCGCCTCGGCCAGCGCCTTGGGCCGCGGCCGCGCCCGGCCGAAGACGCCCGCGCGCGGCCTCACCGGCGCCTGCAGCACCTGCAGCCAGGCCCCACGGAAGGCCTCCAGGCCGCGGCCGTCCGCGCCGCTCTCCGGGCATGCGGCTTCAGACGCCCGCGCGCCCTGCGCGCCCTGCGCGGCGCGCCGGCTCCGCAGCAGCAGCGCGCGCTGCGCCAAGGCCTCGTCCAGGCTGGTGCTGAAGCTGCCAGCCGCGCGGCCCCAGGCTGTCTGCACGGACGCGCAGAAGGACAGAGACAGCTCCTCCACGGAATTCGGAAGCTCTCTGCAGGCCTCCTCCAACGCCCAAACAATGCCCTGGCTCTCGCGCTCGTGACACTCGTCCGTCACCATGCGCCATGCCAGGGCTTGGGCCCTCTTCAAGACTCCGAGCATGGCCACTGCCTGCTTCTGGGTCTTGACACACCGGGTTGAAGCCTTCAAGTGAGGCACCAGCGTGAGGGCGGCGATCCATCCGCCCTTCTTGCGGTGCACGGCGGCCGCGCGGGGCCGGCCCGAGCCAGGAGCTCGCTTGCACGCGCGCACGCCACGCTCCATGTGGCTCAGGAGGGCGGTCTTCACGCGCTCCGGAATGGCCTCCAAAGCTCTGAGCCGCTGCTCTTTGGAGAGCTCTCCGATAGCCTCCTGGCGAATTCCAAGCACAAATCGCTCAGGCCACGCTGGCCCTCTGTCCTGCAAACGCTGCAGGGCGCCCTGTTTCCGCTTTTGGCTTCCTCCCAAACCTCTTTTGGGCATGAAGCTCCGGGAGCCAGCAGTATTGACCTTAACAAAGCGCAACCGAGTGCAAAACGACGGAAGGCAGTAGCAATCCGGTTTGCACATGTGCACATGGTCTAGCTTTGCTACCCCGTCTTCCTCGCACTTTACTTGCTCTTCACTTAACAAACTAGGGATCTCCGGTCGGTCTGTTGTGTCTTGTTTTCGGAGATCCTACGTACCCAACGCTGACGGCCACATTCCAGAGGCCGTTTAGTGCATAAATGCAAAAGTCGATAGATGTCGAGAGCATCTCTCCTTGCTCAACCTGTTGCTTCCGTTCAGTCTCCCAGTTGCCCTTTGCCGCGTAGCGGCAATCTCGTCAGCCATGCCTTTCAACATCAGCCTCATCTACCTGAGCAACGCAATCGATCAATAAATTGCAGAATCGAAAAGCTCGGCCTTGCCTCCTCTGCTTGCTCTCTGTCTTCTTCTTCTTCTCATGTCTTTGGCCTGCCGTGTGTTGCGCTGAGAGATCCAATGTCCGCAAGCCCATTGAACCCGGGCATCCCCCTCCTGGTCCATGAACGTGATTGCACACATGATGCTCTCGATGAAGGCGAGGTCAGTCTGAACAGCCTTGGGCTCGTGGCTGAAGCCAATGCGCTGAATCCGATCGGCCAGCAGATTCAGTTGTCAAGAATGCACCCTGCCAAACTGCGGTCCGGAAAACTTGGGCGCGTGCCATGGTTAGATTGTTCATGGAAACCTGCGGGAGCACGCGTCAGCCACAAGGCCATCGCGCCATGTCCAGCCTGGTCGTGATTCCCGGGGCCCGGGGTCGGCTGCAGGGCAGATTTGAACCGTGCCGCGCGGTTTTCCGGTTCTTGCACGCTTGCGCTCCTGTCTCTGATCAACGCTCAACCTCACCATAATGCGGTTCGTCAATTTTTCCCGGGCTGGCATCGCCAGAGTGCAAATCTGTACATTGGGAAGGTCGCCCTTTCTCTGTTTATGTGCACGAAGCTCCGCGCAGAAATGACACCCATGCTTGCGCTCATTGCATGCATGGATGTGCTTAAAATACATGGGAGCTTGGATGGAATTACTTGAGGCTAAGACTTTGCATGCTCGATAAGCTTCGGACTGATGGCACCCGGACTTTCCTCAAGCAGGAAATCGCGGAATTTGCGCCGTCCTCTTACATTCAGCTGGTCTGCTTGGGTGTGGCAGGCGGGCTGGCCCACAGGCTTGGGTCTTGGAAGACCGATGCAAGCCGCTGTCCCACCGTGTGCCACTGCTCCACCAGCACGGGAGACATCGGCGTGGGCAGCGCGGCCACGGGCGATCGGGTCGGCGACGTCGGCGAGGGCGACGCGCGCGACGCCCGCGACGCGGGCGACACCGGCGAGGCCGGCGACCGGGACAGGGGCGACACGGTCCCCGCGATCGCCTTGGAGCACGGACACGCGAGCGCAAGGCCTGGCCGACCGCTCACAGTCATTCGACCCTTGGTCTGGTCAAGGGGGAAGAAAGGAGAACGCCCATCAAATGGGAAAGCCATCTCTAACCAAGGCTTGAGCCAATTTCTGCTTGCTCCGCGCAAGCTTCTTCAAAGGACTCTCGGAACCATGTCAATCCATTTTGATCAAGCATATTTGTCTGTGTTGCAAGCATGAAAGCTTCCGCTTCGCGCGGCTACCAGTTGAGCATTGCAACGAAAACCCATCTTGAGAGAGAGAGAGAGAGAGAGAGAGAGGCAACTTCAAAGTGCCAGGTTCCATCCTCAAGCCAACCCCAAACCAACCTTAACACGACCCCAAAGCAGCCCTAAACCAACCCGAAACAAACCCGAAGCCAAAAAGCTAACCCTAAACGATCCTAAAACCCGCAAACGACACCCGAAACCGACCCCCCAAACCGGCGCTGAACCGACCCTAAACAACCCCAAACCAAAGAAAAAGCCCCGCTAAAACTATCCCAAACCAACCCTAAACCGCAAGCCGACCCCGCCAACCCTGAAGCCACCTTAAGCCATGCCCTACTCCAGCGCTGCACCCTGAAGCCACCTCAAGCCATGAACAAAGCCACCAATCCTAAACCAACCCCAAACCAAGGAAACGGCTTGTAGACTCCGGACAAGTCGCAAGCTGCGGCGCATGCGCAAACAAAACCGTAGGGGTCAGAGCTGCCAACCTGAAGAAGCAGAAGGAGAGAAGAAGCAGGCAAGGCAAATCCAACGTCTCAGCCCAGGCGAAAGGCAAACACTTCACGCAAAAAACTTGACACTCGCCAACAGGCGTAGGTACTCTGAGCCAGATACGCAATGCAGACTTTTGACTCACGAGGAATCACTCTCCCGTCTGTCAGCTTCAGACAGCAAAGTCTCAAAGATGCTCATCGCCGCCTGGCTGAAAAATGCTCAAAGTCTCAAACCTCACTGGCTGCGCCTGTTGCGGAGAGGTACCCGTGGACGAGTGCCGCCTGGCATCGCAAGTCCAGCCGCCAGCCGCGACCAGCCCGATGGCCTCACCTGGCCTCACCGGGGTTTTGCAGCCCGGAGCACCTCAGTGTCACGTGGGCCCCACGTGAGCGCGTGAGGTCAACCGGAGGTATGCGGAAAGGCGCCGGGTCGCCCGCTTTCAGGCCACGGGTCTCGAGCAGAGCTCCACTGGAAGCACAGCATCAACACCTGGTTTGTTTATAGTTTACTGGGCGCGTCCTTAGCTTGTGGACCCAT